ATTCGATAGGTTGAAATTCGGAAGCAATTTGAGAGTTATGTTTTTGAGGTGCTCTGTCGGTGTTCTGGACGACATGTCTTGGATACAAGCTCTTACTTGAACTCTTTAGTTATCTCTTTTATCAGTAATTTGTGGTCTCAGAAAGGACCGATGGGTTGGAAGCTTGGAAGCCAGTTTAGACCAATGCTGTTGATTTTTTCCTCGATGTTCTTGGAGATGATGCGGTGTGGAAATGAAATATGAATTAAAGAAAACACATCTATCACAGAGAAACTAAGCATACCGGACGGTATGCTATGGTTTAGACCCCTACTATTAAGAGAATTAGGAAAGATTTTTTTGCATAATTCTTGTAATAGGAGGGGATTAAAATATGCATCAAAAGGCATAAAGATAGGTATCATCCGGCATTCTCAGTGCTCGGTATCAATATACGGCGACTGTTTTAGGAAAACCACTTTTCATATCACGGAAACGCCTCGTTTTCTGATGACAAACTATTGCAATTTCGTGCACAAAACGCTTATTCAATAGATGATAAAAAAGCGAAAATTTATTTATTCGATTATTTGATATATATTTCCGGTCGCGAGATATACCATATAAATTCGAGTTTTTCTGCTTTTTCTAGCATCCTAGTAAAAACCTTACCTTAATTTCAAGTGTTTCTGGCTAATAGACATGGTCAGGCATGGAAAATCATTTACATTCATTTCAGGCTTTCATTTACATTCATTTGCCTCTAACTTTTATCATCAACAGCATTCCGCAAAATGATGTATAGAGCTTTAGTAGGTTTTGTTATCAGCTCCAACTTTTGCCCATAACCCAAATCTGTATCTCTTATGCATCACGAATTAGAGCGGGCAGAACTTGTTACTGTTTTTCAGTGAATGTAAAATACATTCATTGAAAAACATTAGTGGTTTCTGTTCACTCAGTTTCATCATACATAAGAGATACGGATTTGAGTTGTTAACAAAAGTTGTACCTAATAACAAAACCTACAAAAGCTCCATAAATTATTTTGCAGAATTCAGATGATGAAAAAAGTTAGGGGTAAATGAATGTAAATGAATGCACAAAATGATGCAAATGATTTTCCATGCCTGGACATGGTCATGAGGTATTCGGTCATTGCGAGAATTTGTATTTACCACTTCAATCCCTGACGCATTTGTTGCTGGGTACATTATCAAAGCTAGCTAGCTGCTTGCGGGGAGCCTTTTGTTGTATACGCGATAACACCATCACTCACCAGACGCGGTGATTGAATGAAACCCGTTCGGTGAGACCGGATGGAATTCAATTTTGAAATGCGCTTTTCGCAGGCAATGGGTCATATTTTTAATTATAATGGGAACAGTAGCACATTCGTGAAATTTCCAATACATTTTTAAAAGTGATAAATTCTTAATTTTAACAGATACGTAAACAAATTTCTTATCGATTGGCGTATTAAAATTCATCATCTCTGGATCAAAATCAGACCACTTTCGTGACTGACTTTGGTGTTTCAAACTGCACTCCCAACGTTGCCTTAAAAATACATGGTATGCTAGATTTATACTAATGGGAACTGACATCCGATTTATGACCTTGACAAGTCTCGCGTCACTTTTCAAATAGAACAATCTCATTGATCAATTCTCTTATCGACTCTCTCTTTCGTTGATAACTTGGCTGCATTCATATGTCGGGCTAATTTTTCTACATAGTCTATTAACAGAAACTATTATTAAGCGTATGAGATGATAATAACAGCTGAACATGTTTTTTGAGCCGAGTTATTAACGAAAGAGAAAGTCGATGAAGAGAATCGATCCATGTAGATTGATCGTTAACGCGAGAAGTGTCCAGAAAATACTCTTTAACAAATGTATGGTGGTCTTGAAAAGGACCGTTTTGTGGTGAAGGTTGAGTAATGTTGAGCTATTAAGGTGTTTTACACAGATAAGGCTGGCGAGTTGCATATTGTTTAGAACGGTGACGCGCTTGGCATAGATGGCTCACAGCGGCTCTCACAACGAGCAACTGTAATCCTGTAGCGGTACAACTTTTTCCTTCTTCTTCGGCGAATCGACCGCTCAGTGGGCGGCAGCTCGCGCTTGCAGGCAGGCTTTCGTCGTGTACTAGAGAACAATCGCCACACGCCGAAAGCACTGCTGCTGCTGCGACCGGACTGAATTCGATTTTTAAATCTTTGTTGGGGAAAGCGCTTTTCGTAGTCAATCAGTGATAATTTTCATTATTGTAGCAGCAGTTGCACATTCGTGCATTTTTCAAAGGTGACCTTTTGAAAATTGATAAAGTGTTCATTTTAGCAGATTTGTAGATGAGATTCTAATTGAATGGCTTGTTTAGAATTAATATCCATCCGCTTTTGACAGAGTTAGAAGTGGTCAAATCCTGACCACTTTTCGTAACGCGGTCGGTTTTGGTTTTTTGAAATTGCACCTCATATATATTGCCGAAAGACGTAATCCTACGTCAAAAAAGGAAGAATGCAAAGTCGGAAAAAGAACATAACATCGAAAAACACTAGGAAGGAGCAACCGCAGTTCATAAGATAATAAAAGTAGTAGGCAAACCAGATACCCAGCCTTTCGAGATGTGAAACGCATCTTTGGGATTGTTCAATAATTACGCAGACGGTTTTTTTGGTATTCTTGGTCCCCCTCCCCCTGCGTAGACAATTATCTATACACATTTTTTAAGATTTACATAGACCGTGTATAATTATGCGATAATGCGAATAAGGGCGGCTATGTGATGTTTTGTTGTACGTGTTGTGGAAATTAGTTCTTTCATTTCCGTAAACTTGTTAAGGACGCCTTGTCTTGCCTCAAAAGTTATCATTTTTAAAGGACTGTTATTCACAACATAAAAGGCACCATTACACGGAGTATTAGATTTGATCAAGTTATTCGCAGTTCTATTTGTGCAACGCTCCCAGCTGAGTGATGGGTAGATGATAACACACACAATTGTATACGCAAATCGTAAGGACTACCAAAACAAAAACGAACTGTGAAATTTTAATCTATAATAAGCCATTTTATATATTCGTTTTTTGTTTTTTATCTATTTTGACATGATCTCAAAAGATCGCAAATAATCGCAGAAATTTTTTTTTGCTAAAATCTTCTATACATACGTGCCATTAATGTTCAATACAAGGCATTGCATGATATGTTAACTTTCTTACCATGATATTAAAGTTGAAAAAACGGTTGTATTAAATTGAAAGAAGCCAAAAATTTATCTAAATCCACTGATTTCATGTGGAATACCTGCTTGATCAACGCATATTTTTTTACAAACAGATTCATTGAACCCAGCAGCAAACGGAGACAAGAAAACTACAACGAGCGAACTTGCACAATACAAAAACAGTCAAATTAGTATTGATACCGCAACGTTGTGAGTATTGAATAAGATATAAAAGATATACAGCATTGTTCTCCTATCCTTTGAGCATACAAAACAACAATTTAGCATCAATTTTGGGTAATTTTAAAAATCGACATTTGGCCAACTACATTGTAGAAATAGGGTGCACGACGTTAGGCATACGGTCGTTAGGCATACGGACGTTAGGCATACGTACGTTAGGCATACGGACGTTAGGCATACGGACGTTAGGCATAATGTACGATAGGCATAATGGACGTTGGGCATAAAGGACGTTAGGCATAATGGACGTTAGGCATAATCTACCGGATGAATTCCAGAAGGATGATAATGGAGACCGTCTATTGATTGCTGACTTCGGTGACAATAATGAAAGAGCCTTAATTTTTGGAACTCATGAACGACGTCTTGGACAGGCAAAGTATTGGGTTACAGATGGTACGTTTGCCACAGTTCCTTGTTTGTTTCGGCAACTCGTCACTGTTCATGGAAGTATCGCTCCCTCACATCAGCAGACGGTTCCGCTAGTTTTCATTCTGATGACAACAAAATCAGAATCTTTGTATCGAAAAGTATGGCAGGAAATCCTGGAAGCAGCAGGTATGTTTTTTTGTTATTGAATGAAAAACCACAGAATTAACCATTCTTGATTTCATGAGCTGATCTTTGGCATCATATTTTATTCAACCTTGGCTGTTTTTTTTTTGTTATTGAATGAAAAAGCACAGAATTCACCATTCTTTATTTCATGAGCTGTTCTTTGAGGAAAACCTTTTCTTCTTTGACTTTTGCAATATGTGTGTAAGAATATATTACAACAAATGTGTGATTTTTTTTTATTTCTAGATGCGATTGATTTCAAGATATAGTTCAAAACTAAGCTGAGTTTTCATTGTAAGATTACTTAACCACTATCGCTACTAATCATGGATCTAAGTAAATATGTAGATACGTCACTTATGATATGATAAATAATGGATTCCAAACTGTGCTTATTAAATAAACTATGTTTGTTTGACTTGTATCATTTTTTATTCAAAGCTAAGCCTAATTTAAGCATTGTTTACAGGTTTACAGGTTAAACAGGTTTCTAGAGTTGCACAGCAGCAAGGTATTTTATGCCTAACGTCCATTATGCCTCACGTATATTATGCCTAACGTCCATTATGCCTAATGACTTTATGCCTAACGTCAATTATGCCTAACGTCCGTATGCCTAAAGTATTTATGCCTAATGGGGTACACTCGTAGAAATACCCCTCTGTGCGATGGTACAATGAACTACATCTAAGCATACAATGCGTAAAGAACGCATCCAACCTCCGAAAAACAACTCCATTTGGGGATTTTGGGCGTCTAGCAGTGTTCCACTCGGAAGAAAGAAGAAAAAAATCTCGCTGCTAGCCGATATCTTAATTGACCCCTACATCGTTGAAGATTTCTTCAATATCATTCCCCCTAATTCCGATATGAGGAGAACAGCTCGAATCATGTCTCGAAAATTGCTTCCATTCGGATGCAATAAAAGGTTATATATGACCTACATACAAAGCGATTATGATATCTATCACGGTCCCAATACTCACTCTAGATGTCGATTGAAACTGTGCTGGATCTGGAAAAGAAAATCGAAACGAAAAAGAAAAATGTCAGTTCAACTTCATTGGAACGACGGCGAAAACTATTTCAAATATTTGTACATGTCGGGTGGTGGATTAGGAAGAGAGAGAGAGAGAGATAGAGAAAGAGAGGGAGGGAAACATGATGAAATCGAATCCACAGGAGCCGTGGCTGGAAGACAAGAGGGACAAACATCGTTTCTAATGATTTGTTGTCCCAAAATATGTGCGTTCTGTTCGTTTTCTTCGTTTACACTGCATGTTTGCCCGGACATAGTTTTGTACATGGCGATTGAGGATAAGCGAATAATCGAAAGCTGGTGGTTTTTTCATGGTTTTCTTCACGAGTTGTCTGAGTCGGATGGCGAGGACAACGACGACGACGCGGAGTTTTCCCATTTTCGTAGCACCTGGATGGCAGTTAGGCAGGTGGTTGTTGTACGACGTTTCGATTGCAACTAACGCGTGTTCAGTTCCAGTTGTTAAGTACAGTGGGGCAAACAGTTCGGAAGGAGTAAACGGTACGCTGAATTAAACTGATGTGTTCATGTTATGAAAATAACGACTCATGATTCATATTAAGAGCCTGAGTTTAAACCCTCGATCTTCTGCTAAGTAAGCAAAAACGTTCGCTCTAAGGCCACCGATCCCCTCTATTACAGTACACCAAAGTAAATTACATAATTTAAAAAAAAAGGATGAGTCATACAAAATATGCAAGTTAAATCGGGATGAATTGAACCTAATATCATGGGTACTTTGAATCAGGGTATACCAGTTCTCACACTGCCATCCGCTCACTTTTTCTGCTCAATGAACATCTGGAAAGTTACATGAAATATCAATTTCAAGGAACTTTACAGATTTTCAATAAAATGTGTTGAGGTCTTTGTAGAAGTTCAAAGATGTTCAGAGGTCTTCGTAGAATTAAGAGAGATTAAAAAAATAAGAATTTGCAGTACATTCAGGGAACTTCGCAGTAGTTGAGGAATTTTGTAAATTATATGGCACTCAAATATTGATGCATTCTTTCGTGCTAGTTGAGGTAAGTCTGAATGTAAATCTTATTAGAGTTCTTTTTCTTATGACACGTCTCAATTTTAAGAGAACGAATTTCGAGATTCACGGAAAATCTGTAAATTTCAATCATTGTTTGCTCCCCCGCAGCAATTAATCCATTCTTGTTTCAGCTACGTACATTTACAAAATTCTTAGCATAGAAGTTGACACAATAAACACATTAAACAGTTCAGCGTCACCATATCTTCGACGGTCACTGTACCCGCATAAGCGATGGGGTCGCCTTCTATGGAAAGCATGTAGAACTGCTCTTTATCGAAAGAATATTCCTGTGCGGCGAAACATTTAATGATACACTGCTACTGCTGCTGCTGCTGCTGCTCCAGAATGCATTATTAAGATTTTATGGTCACACCAAACGAAGGCACAAGTTTTGCAGCTTGCGATCCATCGTCGGTCCCATCGTCGAAAGCGAGGCAAAACTGAACCTGGCACGTGGCACACGCCATGCATTCCCAAAATTGGCACATTTATGAGTCGGATGCTTGACATCTGCTGCGTCGATTGCGATATATAGAGCTCTCGTGGCAAGCTGCACCCATCTCTGATGTTTTACCAACCACTTTCCGGCAATTGGAGGGTGAATGATGTGTTGATTATCTTCTTCACCGTGAGTTGGTTTATACCTTGATATAATCGCAAAGGTAGGTGCAGCAAACGCACAACACCAATGTGCGTAATTTGATATTTTGGTCGCGTGCTTGCACTTATCTGATCGTTGATTCTGCTGGAAAACAGTGTATTGTTCGACGCCTTGTTGTAATCGTTTCCAGTGCCATATTGCACGCACCCTTAAAAATACGGCGACGACTTTGAGTGACTTAACTTTTCACATCTTCCAAGAGCTATCAACCTTCCAAGTGGGCATAATAGCAAGCGAGATCACATCTGTGCCGTATCTTGACAACATCAGGCACTTGAGCTGAGCCAGTAGACACTCGACGTTACACGCAATCAAGTAGAATTCCTCAAATGCCATCCAACGAGTGTAGGGCAGTGCAATTACAAATTTGATGGCAGCAATTGGGGCGCACTTAATTCGACTTAAGAAACCGCAGCAGCAGTATGCCACAATTGTAACAACTTAATCATTCAATTAATACCTTTCTCACAATCGAGAGGCAGCCAAACCAAACCGAACCTCATCGAATACAGTGTCTGACGGATCTGCGTGGTAAAACTAGACTTACTGGATTCTCATCGACTCTGACGACGGCAGACGCAAAAGCGCTTAGCGAAAAGTTGTCGCTTTTTTTTCTTCGTTGTTGCTCCAGAAACACATAAAAAGTCGAACAACGCTAATATCCGGAAATTGCCACTTTGGCGCAAAGATGCATTAAGAGATCAGCCTTAGTCATGTGTGTGTTCAGCTCGCGACTGTGTTAAGTCAAGCCAGATGCTGCTATGTTGTGTCTAAGTGAACATACTTTCTAGCAACCGAAGCACGTTGATGACTATGGGAAACGGCGTTTTAATAATTCATGTTACAAACAAGCGCATAGCTCGACGTTTTGCACCTCAGAGCAGCAAGCGTGTGTGTTTCTGAAGTGTGTCAAAATGCATGTTTGTTTTGGAGCTGCTAACAAGATGACGACGATGATCGCGTGCTACTGGTGTGAAGTTGACTTATTCTCCTCACAGTAACAGAAGTAAAATATCACCGCCCGTACGACGTAGAGAACGATTTGGAGTCTTAAGCGATTGATCATCACCACCGTTCAAATTATTGCAAAATAGTACGGTCAACAAAGTAAATACACAGTGGAAATGAATAATGGCTCTTCTTATCTACACAACTCACTTGACAGAGAGCTTCTTGTTGACAATATATGTAAGGTACGATTGCTTCCAAATTTAGACGGCTACTATTATTTCGTTACAAGCTCGTTCTTTCGAGAGTACAAATCCGCTTCTTAAGGCACACCATTCACTCCACGGCATCCAAGAAGGCGATGTAAACGAACTGATTTAACATCACAAATTGGATTAAACTCCCATTATCACTCACTTGCCACTGATGGCTGATTGCACACTACTTGCTGTCGTCGGTCACTTGTTACACGCACTCAATGAGCCTCTAATATAAAAATCACTTTCGCACTCGCACATCCTATATGGCACTTTGCTGGACACAGTAGTGCACATGGCTAAACGAATTTATCTTGCGCTGAAGCGTGCGTCATTATAGCCTTCTTCGTTTCGCTAGCCAGAGTGGCGGCGAGCGATGAAACTAAGGTCACTTGGATTGCTCAAAGGAACGAAGGGTTAAAAGCACCCACGGTTTGACCGTAAACCGATAAAAAAAAGCGCGTACACATCGATCTGTCAGGCGGCGACGGTAATTTTTCGGTGATCACCTTCAGATTCGTTTACACGTTCAAAAACAAAGTTGAAAATCAATCAACGTTCCACGGTGCGAAGACTCGGAATATCGCGCGATCGCGGGAAAAGACAACACCGCGCTGTCTATTGTCACCTCGCCAAACTAGCACTGACTGGAGCTGCGCGGTTTGTTGTTCGTTTGGCAGCAGTCAAGGCAAAGTTGCTGCTACGGGGCTGGTCGAAAACCTGCTCTCTGGCATACAGCGGCGAAGCGTAATAAAAACAGAGAATTAAAATAAATCCCCGCGTGCGATGGTGCAGGTGGCGCAGGCGGCTTCTTGTGTTCAAGCTTCGCTCTTGAATAAACCGCAAAACAGGTAGGTTAGAATATGTATTCAAGATCGGTCCCCCACATACAAATACATCCACAAATATTGCCCGCGCTATGCAAGAATATGACAGAATAAATCAGAAAGTGTACGCCTTCAATCACTTGACTTATCTCATCTAACAATTACTATATGCGCTCAACACACTGGCCAATTGATTTCCAACCGACCAACGACGACGACGGGGTTGCAGAATAAGAAGACCGTTTTACGACCTGCAAAATAGACCATTTTGAGAGTCACCATCATAGGGGAATGGACAATAATGTTTTCGAGCGATTTTGCTTTTGAAGTCTTGTTCTGAGTCGTAGCAGGCATTGCGCAGCTTATTTGTAATCTGAAACGCTCAAGCAAACGGGTACCACATAACGAACAGTGGGATAATCGGCTGGAACAAACAGCAAAATGATCATGATAATTGTTCCCTGTAACTTGTGCAATTTAGTTTTTGTCCGAGAGAAACGCAAGATTTGCACACTCTGAGCACCCTCGCAACCGATACCTACAATTTGATCTACATTTTTCAGCATACATGTACTGCACAGCACTACAAGTGGCGGTCTGGCTTCTCTGTGCGGTTGCCATACCAACAACCGAACGTGCCAACTGTATAGCACACGCCGTAATGAGCGTATTATAATTTATTTGAAAAATTCTCCAAACAAGGCTAACATGTTTTCGACTCGAGGGATCAAATACAACAACAGCGAGACACTGGAACAAATCTTCGCACGGAAAGCCAAACAAGATCTCACTTCACGTCGGTCGTCTCGCAGGCATGCAGCATTCCCCTTGAAGTCGATAAAAACACACAATAAATTACTGTGGCCAATGGTGTAGCTAATGTGGGGGTGCCAAAGGGGTCAGGCCCTTTCCAAAATTGTAAAGGCTTGTCCTAGAAGGGAGCCAGAAAAAAAGCTCGCTTTTGGACTCCTAATCTTATATGATCTTATCTGAAATTCGAATTTTTGCTGAATTTTATTTAAGAACTCAGCTTTACTAAATCTGCATTAAAAGTTTGGCGTTTTTCTCAAAAATAAAAGAAGCGCTCCAACCGAATCAATTATTATCTTCATCTGATGGCATTCGTGAATAGCGTTTCAACGCATTAGACCTAATTTAGAATCCGTAGGCCGAGTTTGGGTCAAGAAACAGTGTTAGATTTTTAACAATATCTCAAAAATTTGCTTCTCTTTATCGAATCT